TTTGTCCCAATCCCTCGACGACGATTTATCACCTGACAATTAAACCAAATTAAAACCGATTCGAATCCAATCTAACATAAGCAGTTTCGAAATCTCTCACCGTTGTCGTTTCCACTCTTGGGAGATTCGTCCGGATTTTTCTTGGAACAACGGAATTTCGAGGAGGATGAGAATCTAGGGATTATCCGGCAGAGATTGGGGGATCTTAAGCTTGAAATTCGAACATAAGTGTCCATTTTTCAGATTGCGGTACGGACAAAAAAGTATCTGAGTGTTGTTCTTCTGCGATCTTCTCCGCCGGACAATGTTTTTCCTTAGCCTTTCAATCTCATCTTCTTCATCGAAAGCGACACGTGGCTATCGATGGGTCCCATGCTATGATGAATCCGGACCGGGCTGGCTACTTGGTTTGGATCGGGTACGAGAAATATTCGACCAGGACCGGACATAAACATCTAACCGGCGCTAAGTAAACCATTTTATAGAAATGTTGCTAATGGGCCTCTTTCATTTTCTTCTTATACAATAAACCTCAGCAATGGACAAGTTGAAGATCCATGCTGGATCATCAGTGTACAGTCTCCAGTTGCATCTTCCTTTGGCTTTTTGTTACGGTTGTTCTTTTCACTAGACCCACTCACTTGTCTCTTCTCTTAATCTCCACTGTCCATCCAACTTCGACGGACCAGATCTTCTCTCCCATACCATTCACTCCATTCAAAAAGCTTAATTCAAAATTTTCAGTATAAAATGGTCCTTAAGTATGTTTTCAGTTCACTTAGTAACAAAAATATTTATACTTGTCTATCTATATCTAAGAAACAAAAATTTGAAATGACTATAGCTGAAAAAGTAAAAAAACTAAGTAATCTGGCTTTACATAGTCGTACTTGTGATTACTATTTTGTTGATTATACTAATTAAACCAATCAAGAAGAGCCATTACATTTTCAAACAAGAATTTTTGCAAAAAAAATTACAGTTAATATTTTTATACAGTCACAACAATAATACTAGTCGAGAGTCGAGACTGAAAAGTAATTACTGTATTGTGAAAAGTTTTGCAGATTTTAGCGAAGAAAACAAAATATCCAAGTGGAAGATATTTCAAGCGGATAAGAAAAGAAAAAAAAAAAAAAAATTCTTTTTGCCAATAAATATCTAAAACTCGTCTCCTTTTATCTCTTCACTCTCAAATCTCTCTTTCTCGCAGAACCCTTAAACCTTATCTCTTTCACAGCACCACCAGCGAGAGAGCTTTAGCAAATCCTCAAAAGCTAAAGCCATGTCTGCCTCCGCTTCTTCCCTCTCTCTCACTTCCTTCAACCCTAAATCCCTTCCTCTCTGCGTCTCCAGGTCCGCTTCCCTTTCCGTCTTGCCTCCTTCCCTCTCCTTCAAACTCCACTCCGACCATCTAGTCTCCCTCTTCGCTTCCTCCGCCGTCAAATTCTCAGCCCCCTCGGAGTACCCGTCGCGGTTCGTCAGAAATGTCGCCGTTTCCTCGGATTTCGAGGTGGAGGAAGACGACATGTTCGGTGAAGACGATTCGCCGCCGCCGGAGAGAAACACCTTCTCTAATGACCTCAAGCTCTTCGTCGGTAACCTTTCCTTCAACGTCGATAGCGCTCAGCTAGCTCAGCTGTTTGAGAGCGCCGGAAATGTTGAGATGGTTGAGGTACGAATTTAGGGTTCCTGATTTTGAATTGCTTAATTCTCTTCCTCAAAATCGATGCTTTATAGATTTGATGATGAAGTAGCTGATTGCTCATAATAACTTCGTGTGAAATGGGTTTGAATCTGATTGTGTAGCGTCAAAATGAGAACTTTGCAAAAGAGCTAAGATGGTTCTGAGTCTCATAGATAACGTTGTGTGGTGTTGTTGCCTTTGTGTGACTGAGAACATTGTAAATGTCTTGGTTTTTGTAGGTTATCTATGACAAAGTGACTGGCAGGAGCAGGGGTTTCGGATTTGTGACAATGTCCACTGCAGCTGAAGTTGAGGCAGCAGCTCAGCAATTCAATAACTATGTAAGCAGACTTTCATTTTCCATTACTGTGTTGAGATAAGCTTTGTGAGGACTTGTGATTGAATAACCTGAATCATTTATTGTTATTCTTAGCTTGTGTATAATCACTAACCACTGTAATGTAAGTGTGCATTACACCTGGCTCTCATGAACGTTTATCCTCTGTTTGGTTTGCCTATACTTAATGGTTTCATGTTGTTCTTTGTTCCACTGACAAGATGCATTTGCTTATTCGGAAATGAAAGCTGTCAAACTTCTAGGTCGTTCTTGTTTATTGGGGATATAAGTTGCTGAGAGAATTGTTGAACCTTTGATTTGGTTGTACATGCTTGTTGTTCATGTCTTTTAGATTTTATACATTGCGACTGTTTTTGTTAATCTTGTTGAGATGAACATTTGCAGGAATTTGAAGGCAGACCCTTGAGGGTTAACGCTGGACCTCCTCCACCTAAGAGAGAGGAGTCCTTCTCCAGAGGACCAAGAAGTGGTGGTTACGGCTCTGAGCGTTCCGGTGGTTACGGTTCTGAGCGTTCCGGTGGCTACGGGTCTCAACGTTCTGAGCGTTCAGGTGGCTACGGGTCTCAACGTTCTGAGCGTTCCGGTGGCTACGGGTCTGAACGTTCCAGCTATGGTTCTGGGTCAGGTTCGGGATCAGGGTCATCGGACCGTATCTACGTGGGAAACCTTTCATGGGGTGTCGATGACTCGGCTCTTGAGAACTTGTTCAGTGAGCAAGGAAAAGTTGTAGAGGCCAGAGTCATCTACGACAGGGACACTGGTAGGTCCAAGGGTTTTGGGTTTGTGACGCTAGGCTCTGCTCAAGAGGTCCAAAAGGCCATCAATTCACTGAATGGAGCAGTAAGTATCTTCTTACAATCTCTTTTGTTTAGTAAATTTCTTCTTACAGTAAGGTTTGGATGTTTTGCTCTCAATTCTAATTACATGTTTTTGCTTTCCTTGAAGGATTTGGATGGTAGACAAATAAGAGTCTCGGAAGCTGAGGCAAGGCCACCAAGGCGTCAATTTTGAAGTGTAATGCCACTTTGATTTTCTCAAAAACTGCATTCTCTTCTCTCTTTTTGTTTTGTTTTAGTTTTTTGTTGGGTATTTTGACACCTTTATGGGCTTTTGGAGTATGAGTGACTGTAGCAGTCTGTTTTATTTAATGGGTTTTGATCTTCTGTTCTGAAAATCAGTATGTATTCCTAAAACCTGACAAGTTTCGTTTGGAACAAGAAAATTTCTGGAAGGCTTTGATCGACATTAGGTTGTAATCACTTGCTGTCTTGTTAATGGTTATGGGTAGTGCGTGCAATTCATACATCAATGTATAATTTGGTTTGTTTCGTACATATTGGATCCCATTTTCATGAAAATGGGCCTATGCGGTAGTATACAGATCGGTTTTTCTAAAGGCCATGGACATGCGGATTTAACTAAAGATAATTATACTTTACGACAAAACTTGTTACTAAAAATTTGACTACAACTTGAATGTTAATTTACTGCGAGTCTGCGACATTAACAAATTAAACAAGTATGCCGTTGATTTTTTTAGTGTCGTTCAACATATGCACGAACATTTGAGCACATTCTCAATATTTGTTTGGTGTATATTTTGTTTTCCTTCAAGTTTTCGGTTTTCCTTTAGGGTAATTAAGACGGGTTGATGAACAAACACACCAATTATCGACTAATCAGATAATGCCAAATCATATATTGTGGGTATGTGACGAAGGTAGATTCAACGTCATTTTGTTTTTCTTTTTCAAAACAATTGCTTGAAGGAATAGTTAGAGAGCAAATGGGACATAGTAATGACCGAAAGCAGGGAAGGAACATTGAAGTGAATTAATGGAAGATTATGTCTCAAAAATAAAGAACACAGAAATAATAAATGTCACTTTGCTCTTTCTCCATCATACTTCCACCACTCTTCCTGCCTACAAGTTAGGCCTTTTTCTTCCTTTTTAAAAAACTCGTTTCTCTTTTGTCTTCACATATCAATTCTGTATTTAAACATGCATTTATATTACACGTATGATATAAAAATGCTAAGATGTGTAATGTTATACAGGTGATCAAGCCTAACACCAGTTTTGATCTCTACAACACAAATGATATGTATGTAACAACAAAAACCTGTAAGATAAATGTTACTTTCCCTAATCAAGCTCATAATTTCTACAATCTTTCTATTTTTGGTGACTGACGTATATCGCCAGCGTTAACCTATAATAACATTACACTTTTAGAGAAATTTTATATGTTTTAACAACCCGATTGAACTAACACACATTGTTAAAGGAGTAGAATTGCTGTAAAGAAGGCATGTCCTAGTGTGGACGTTTATAACAATGTGATACCAACTTTCTAGATATTAGATGATTATGAAAAGAGTTTAATGATTAATATATCCCGTGTTCATGGAAATATTCTAGTTAATCAACAAGATTGCGAATATGTAACACATTAGACTAGAGCTTAAACTCAAGAGCTTTCTTGCTTGTCTTCTCGTCTACTTTTGTTCGTTTTTATTCTACACTTATACACAACTATCTTAAAAACTCGAGGTATAATTAGAGAAAACTATGTTTGTAATGAATTGTTGTGGTTGAAAGTGCTATCACAGTTGTATATCGAATACTAGCGATAAATACTCTATATTGTCACTTATCCATCCATCATATAGGATACCCTATTTTCATCATGAGATGAATTTGAATGATCTATTTCAATTTCGGTTTCAGAAGAATCAGTTTTCTCATCATGGAAAGATAGGTAGAGTCTTTAACTCTTTGATGGATGTATCTAGCTCAGGTTAGGTAACGAATTTATTTATTGGAAAATTTGTAACAATTAATCATCTCTCTAAAATTAATATACCATAATGACGACTGGTCTACTCTTATGGGCGGTCGTAAATGCAAATGGGGGCCCTTGTTAGTACAACTGCAGTTGATATGGTCGTCATTTGCCCCTTTCATTAACATCAAACTAAATATATTGTTTAAACAAAAATTTAGAATAAAGTAACACTTTTGTCTGATAAGATTAGAAAGCGAGGAGCCTTTTTACTGCTCTCCTGCTTCATCTGTATTCGGCGCACACACTTTATCTACACACATCCACAAAGCCATCCATATTTAACTTAATTAATTATGCATGTACTGTATAAGCCTTTGTTGGAGTATCACATTAAGATACAT